GGGAAGTGTTTATTTCGGTGATGGGAAAAGAGGATGATGGCATAGATAACTGATAGGAGTGGAAATGGTGGTGATGGTGACTTCTGGTTACATTTTGATTCTGGAAACTGAATTTTCAAGGGTTTGGATGTAAGTTGAATATAAGAGAGAAGTCAGGATGTTTACAGGGTTTGGCTTAATGAACAAGTTGTATTTGGCACCCTCTGATGTTGAAGAATTTGAGAGGAACAAATGTATAGAGAAAGTTTAGGATTCAATTTAAACATGTTAACTTTGAGAAAGTCTGTTAGAAACCCGAGGAAAGAAGTTGAGAAAGGAATTGGATGATGCTTGGCGTGTTTAAGTCTGGTAAGAATGAATGGCAGTGAATGAAGCAATGTCTTAGAAAATGAAATTAGAGAACAGGGGCTTGAGGATTTCATTCTAAACTTGATGAAAATGAATTGAGAATTATGAAAAGAAAGGGAACAATATTTGACTTTCAATTCAAAAGGAGTACTGTGTATTTGGACTAGATATTTAACTATCTTTTGCTTGGGGACAGAAAGTAAATTAATTTATTATCAAAATGTTTATTAATTTGGAAGATATAACTTTAATATATTTATGTAAGGATATTTTAATCCACGACATAAGTAGTGGACAATTTTATGAGACCCTAAAGAAACTAGCTGGTGGACCTATTCAAAAATCAGAGAAAAACTCAAAATATAGATCAGAGTATTCACATTTATCAGATAAATTTTATTTTTGTATAATAACACTAGATATATTGTAATTTGTTCATTTTCATGTTGATTTAGAGCCAAAAGGTATAGAACTACTTTAGTCTCCAGTTTAATAGTAACACATGTGAAAGATTCACATAATTTTCTCAGGTTAAATAAAAATGGCATTTTACATAGTATGAGAAATTATTATAAATATGGATTTAACTACAGTTTTATTAGGAAATTAAATATTGCAGACTATAATGTGATTTATTCAACAGAAAATTTATATAGGTTATGATAAGTATTATCATTTATGCAATTTGCTATATTGAAAAATACGGCTACAGTATTTTGTAGTTCCTTTTGTGAAGAGATGGAATCTATTTCAAACTTCCTTCAATCTGTGCTGATCTTGTGACTTGCTTTGACAAATAGAATTGGGCAGATAAAAGCTAGGTCTTAAAAGGACTTGCATCTTCCTTTACTGCCCAGAGACAGTAAGGAAGCTGGTCAAGTATATTGGAAGGTGGGAGGTCACATGGAGAGGAAACACGGCATTGCCGCCAACAAGAAACACTAATCATTGTGCACGGGAATGAGCTTTAAACCTTTGATTCTGGCTGGAATTTTGGCTGAATGCAGACACATGAGTGAACAATGGAAAACCTGAGAATTTCCCACCTGCCTACAGAATCATGTGGAATGACAAATTACTATTGTTTTAAGTAACTGATTTTCAGATCTTATACAGTAATAGTAATAAAACTGAAACATGCATGAAATATTTTATGGAGTTTGTGTAAATTGTTTAAATATAGTTTTAACATGTTGTTCTTTGATCATTTAATAGTTACTGCATGTTTACTATGCACTTTTTGCTAAGGGCTCTAGGAAATAAAGATATAAATAAAATATAAATACTGTCAATAGATAGTAATTGAGTAGGGGTGATAAATACTAAACACTAAATGTAAATATTTTTGTTTAGTTTATCTAAGATGAATTCATACTTGCCTTGGGAATTCAGAAGAAAGCATTCATGAGGATGGTCATATTTGAAGTATGGCTTCAGAAATGGGAATTACGTGTAGGTATTGGGGACAGAGGGATTTCAGTTGAAAGGACTATCTTGTGCAAAAGTACACATAGGAGGCAATGGTTATATATGATAAGTTAATCTAAATAGTCAGTGAAGGGGAGATAAATGAGAATAAATTTCCAGAAAAAGTAGATTAGTTCACGATGCTGGAGTCATCAACTCTTTGTACCACATATCCCATGCCAAATTACAAACCATCCTCCAAATTAGTAGCTTAAAACAACATAATTTGTTGTTTCTCTCAGCATTGTGATTAGTACCAGGGCAGTTTTTCCACTAGTCTCTCCTGCAATTACTTTTTTTTTAATTGAAATAATGTTGCATTATAACAGTATAGAAGTTTTACATGTGCACCATTAAGATACAACATGTATATATAGTATATTACATTCACCCCTAAATGTACAATACAATTACTTTCTTAACTCCAATCATGATGACCTGACAGGAGCTGGAGAGCCCAATATAGCCCTACTCTAGTGTTGGGCAGTTAGTGCTAGCTGTCAGCTGAGCCGTTTTCATTTTCTTCCACATGGCTCCTTATCCTGTAGTAGACAGCACTGGGCTACTTCACAGCCTGGTAGTCTCAGACTGACAAGAAAATGAGAACAAGATCTTCAGGTCTGCTAAGGTCTAGGCTCTGCAATTTATGCAGCATCACTTCTGCAGTATTCCATTGATCAAGACTTGTCCTAATTCAATAACATGGAGAAATAGAATTCAGTCTTAATGGGCGATACAATGTCATGTTGCAAAGGGGCATGAACATGGGAGACTTGATTTATTGACAGCTGCTATTAAAATGATCATACCAAAAAATAGAGTTTTCTTAAACAGTGAGAAATCCAATGACTTTTTGAACCTGAGAGTGACATATTGCAGCTATATTTAAGGAATATGAATATGGCCTTTATGAATAGAAAACATTTATAAAGACAGACAAACTGAAGACCAAGCACCACATCAGGAGACATTTCTGTTGTTTGGGTCAAGATAATATAAGTCTGAAGTAGGAAATGTACATTTTTTTATATGAACAGAGATTTATATTTAAGTATAATATAGTTAAGTCCTTAAATAACATGGGTTTATAAAATATATAACTCAATTATCTTTTCATTCTGTTTTCTCTAGAAATGTGAATATTTGCATGGATTGTTTACATTTTCAAATATGTACTATTTAAAATTAAATGAAAGACCTGCTCCACAGAAATGTCTATTATCAAGCAAATGTGTTCTTTGTATTAAGGCTCCATCTCAATAGTCATATAATTTGCCTGCTTATTATATTACATAGAGGCAGCTGAGCAAATAAACTGATTTGAGTCAACTCAAATGACCTGGTAGGTCACACAAAATTCTTAAGCATAGGACAAGGGCAGTTTTACTGAGCCATTCTGGAGACCTTAAGTTAAGAAGGAAAGAAGAAGTACAAAAGAACAATTTTGCCCCAAAAGTAAAATGATGACAAATACCCTATTGTTTCTATTCTGTTTCTTGATGTCTCTTCTTGTGTACCTAACCCTCTACCTGACTACCGGCTAATAGTCCGTCTTAAGAAATAAAAGATTTAAGATAATTGAATATTTATTCTATAACTTAGAAAAAAATGGGCAGGCATGTTAAAATGTCAGAAAAAGGATTGAATGTTACTTCCTCATGGTCATAATAATAATAGAACTATATCTGCTTCTTGTGCATAGAAGGTAAAATCAGTGTTCAAAATTGTATACTGAAATTTTGACAGCTCTGTGATGGTATAATTTACATACCATAAAATTCACTCATTTTCAGTGTATATTTCAATCACTTTTAATATCCTACATGGTTCTTCATTCCTCACCACAATCCAGTTTAGAACATTTTCTTCATCTCTTTTCCCATCATCAAACCAGACAACCATTAATTTGCTTTTTATATCTTTTCTGTACATATCATATAAACATACTCAAGTAACAGGTAATCTCTAACATCTGACTTCTTTTACTCAGCATGTTTTTGTGGTTTGTGTAGTAACAGGAATCATTACATTATTTGATTCCTTTTCTCTTGCAGAATAGTATTCCATTTTATTCTGATTTTATGTTGCAAGTGTCACTCCCTCAGACATTGCATGACATGTATGTGTCTATCTTAGTCTCACTTTTTAAATGTAGCAGTGCTTTATCTAATGGTATTTAACACCACTATAAAGACTTCAGTTTGTAACAATTTCTATGCTGTGCCCTAACTTTCATACCATCAGTAGGCTTGTACAAATGACTTACCCAGTTAAGGAGTCTTTTTGTGAGATACTTGTCAGTTATTGTCTCCTTAAATTTTTCTACCTAAGTGTGTGCATGCACACACACATAGTAAAGTGTCTACTGCTAAAGAAAAAAAAAAGACTTGCTGTTTTGAAGGGAATAAATTTAGTTATTTGTGTTCTCTGTGTCCTTGATACATATTCAAAATGTTTGTATAAATCACAAATGAAATCCAGTTTATTAATTTTATATGCCATTGAAATATACTTTGTGATATTTTGGTTTTTAATTTATTAAAAACCAAACCAGGGTGATTTTTAAATTATTTATTTTATTTAGATAACATTGGTTTACAACATTATCTATGGTTTAGAGATCTAGGGTTGTAGCTTTCAGGAGTATATTACTACACCATGCCCACCAGCAAAGCACTTAAAGTCCTCCACCACAGTCCATCATACCTCCTCCCCACTTTACGCAGTCTCCCTTCCTCCCAGTCTGGTAGCCTCAATTGTACAATCATCTTTCTAGGGTTTGTTATTTCTTTTATCTGACCCTTTTTCATTGCTTCTCTATATTCCACATATTAAGTGAAACCATCCAGTATTTGTCTTTTCACCACTGACTTATTTTGCTTAGCATAATCTCCTCCAGTTCCATCCATGTTGGTGGTATTTTGCCTATAATTGTGACTATTAATTAAAATAATGTATCTGTTTAATGAGAAAAAACTTAAAAATGTATTTCTTTATATATATGTATGTATATATACACACACATATATATATATATATATATATATATAGAGAGAGAGAGAGAGAGAGCAATATATGGCCCTGTTAAATGGCTTCATGAAATGTATTTTGGCTTTCAAAAGAATAATGAAAATTAAGCTGCTCCATTGGAATGTTTTAATCTTAATGCACATTTGTTTCTTTAGCATTTGTGGAATCCAGCATCTGGAGCGAATAGGAAAGAAGCTGAATCTCTTTGACTCCCTTTATTTCTGCATTGTTACCTTTTCGACTGTGGGCTTTGGGGATGTCACTCCTGAAACATGGTCCTCCAAGCTTTTTGTTGTTGCTATGATCTGTGTCGCTCTTGTGGTTCTACCCATACAGGTAAACATAACATGTTAACTTTTATAGAAATGTTTAAAATTTTATAAAATCAAATCTTCCCTGTTTAATGCGAAATGCAGGGTGATGTTTTAAATCTAACAATAATGTGTTAACACATGTTGCGAGTACATCTAATCAATTAATTTATATTGTTTCATATATGTCTTCTTATATTATAAACTGAAATTTTTCTCCAGCCTTAACTTCTAGTTCACATATTTTAAATTTTCAAAATGTTTCTTCTAAGTATATGGTGTTTAACTATATTAATTACATGTAGGATTGTAGGATAATATTTAAAATTATAGAATGGTAGATCCCAGAAATAAATTTGTGAGGAGTCGATTTCTCTTGATTTTTGAAACAGTCTAATAACCATTTGTTATTAGACTATATACCTTGGTCTAAAAAAAATTGACTATATACCTTGGTCAACTAAATCAAACAAGATCTAAAGATGATATATAACCACTCTAAGTATGTAAAGAGTGGTTGCAAAAAGAAAGAAATATAAGATGGGACTAAAGCTAAATAGAGCACTCTCCACCTCTTTTCTGCAATCAGCTCTGAGTTCAGTGAGTGGACAGGACAGAACCACGGTATGGCTAACACAATTGAAATGTGTATATTTCAATATAGAACCTTTGGCTATAGTGTGTCTAAATATACTTTCTTTGGGTTAAAAAATGGTCTTCCCACTCCTGTCCAATGATGCATATCTTCCTTCTGTATACTTGCCTTACCAGTATGTCTGATTGCATGAGGTGTGGATTAAACTTGACAGAAGAATGTGAAAAAATGTCAATGAGGTTGTCTGACCAAGCATGTGACATAATAAGACTGCATTCTCCACTGGACATAAAGCAGAGACATGAATCTGTTAGTGACCTGCTATGAGATAATAAAATAAATCATATTAATATGTTTCCTTAGAGACCTGAAGCCTTAGGAAGGTATTAGCAAACTCTGCAACAATAATATGAAAAGTCTGTTGTTGAAGAGAACACAATTTTAATCTCAATGAGTCATATCTAAGAAATTATGTGTATCTAATGGCAATGATGTATTGCATTTATTTTTATTTTCTTGTCCAGAGTTTTTAAATTGCATGTGGAAAATATGTTACAGGTTGAACAACTGGCCTATTTGTGGATGGAGAGACAAAAGTCGGGTGGAAATTATAGTAGACACAGAGCTCAAACTGAAAAGCATGTTGTCCTGTGTGTCAGCTCTTTGAAGATTGATTTACTTATGGATTTTTTAAATGAATTCTATGCTCACCCAAGATTACAGGTATCATTAAATTACATTATGCTTATGGTGGATCATACCTACTAACATATTGTCAAAGTCAGTTAGCTGATGGTGCAGCCTGTGTTCTGGAGGATTTTATTTATACATGCAAATTTAGAAAGAGTAAATGAAGAAATACAAATTTAGCCAGGAACATAGAAAAAATGCTGCGGGAATACACAGTATTTTAAGTTTCCTTCTGTATCTACAAAAAAGACAGATGGAATTTTGTTAATGCTACAAAGAAAGGTTTTCTTTGAATTAAGAGGATTGCTTTTTCCTCCCTTGGGTAGTGCATAAGTGATATTTTTATGAAACAGTGAAATGTAACATGAAATATAATAAAACAATGAAAAAATCATTTCAATATTATCTGTTCTCTCGAATAGTTCAGGGATTTATCAAGTGTTAGTGATGGAAATGTGGAAATATAGAAGTTGCATTTTTTTCTTTTTTTTTCTTGACTGCAACTAGATTCTACTTATTTAACAATACATGGGAAAAATGGGTAATAATAGCTGAATTGAGAACATAAATTCAGAAAAATGTCTATGTGATAAAATTCTCAGATATTTCTTTCACTTGTCACTGTTCTGGGCCAGTTTAGACTTAGGTAATTTCATTTTCTGCCTAATGTATTTAGTCCAGTCCAAACAGTAAAGAACTATTTTAATATCCTGTATTTCCTCAATAAATATGTATCAAGAGAATGGAAAATCCTGAAATAAAAACAATACTGAGTATATCTAACTCACTTAGCATAATTACCTCAAGATCCTTTCATTTGTCCCCAAAGCACCATTTAATCTTTTTGTAATAGCTGAATGAGTAGTATTTCATTGAATATATATTCTGTAATTTATCCATTCATCAATCCATGGGCATTTAGCTTGGTTCCATGTCTTTGATACTGTGAATAATGTTAGTATAAATTTAGGCATGCATAAATCTTTTGGTATTAGTGCTTTCATATTCTTTGGGTAAATACCTAAAAGTAGTATTGCTGGAACATATGGTATTTCCATTTTTAGTTTTTAGAGGAATATCCATACTGTTTTACATAGAGGTTTCACCAAATTACATTCCCACTAACAGTGGATAACTGTTCCCTTCTCTCTATATCCTTGCCAACATTTGTTTCCAGTCTTTTTGATACAGACCATTCTCACAGAAGTGAGGTGTTATCTTAAGATTTTGATTTGCATTTTCCTTATAATAAGTGATATTGAACATTTTTTCATGTGCCTACAGGCCATCTGAATGTCTCCCATGTGTCTGTTCAGGTTTTTTGCCCATTTTTGAATGGGTTGTTTGCTTTTTGTTGTAGAGTTGGATAAATTCTCTGTTTTGAAAATGAACATGTTATATGATATGAAAATATAGTCTCCAAGTCCTTAGGTTGCCTTTTTGTTTATGTGATGGTTTCTTTTATGGTAAAAATGCTTTTTAGTATGATGTATTCCCATTTATTTGTTTTTGTTTTATTTCCCTTGAGATTGGACTTGTGTCCCCAAATACATTTCTGTGGTAGATATCTAGTTATAGATCAACTGTATTTTCTTTTAATTTTTTCAGGTCTTACATCAAAGTCTTTAACTCTTTTTGAATTAATTTTTGTTTATGAAGTTAAAAATTATCTAGTTTCATTTTTCACATGTTCTTTCCAAGTTTCCAAATACAATTTTTTGAAGAGGGTTTCCTTTCTTGATTGTATAGCCATGGCCCTATTGTCAGATATAAACTGTACATATTTATGTCAGCTTATTTCTGTACTCTCTTCTATTTATTGCTTCATGTTTTTGTTCCAAGGCATATTCTTTTGATTACTATAGCTGTGTAATATAGTTTAAAGTCAGGGAGTATGATGGCTCCATTTTCTTCTTTCAATATTGCTTTTGCTCTTAAGGTCCTCTCTTGGTTTCATACAAATTTTACAATTGTTTCATTTCCTTGAAAAACATCCTTGGAAATTTGGTCGGTATTGAATTGAATCTGTAATTCCTTTAGGTAATATGGCTATAATAGCAATGTTTAGTCTTCCAGTTCATTCACATGGGGTATCTTTCCATTTCCTTGTGCCTTTTTTAATTTCCTTTGACAGTGTCAGAGTTTTCAATGTATAAGTTTTTAATGTTCTGTTGCATTTTTGTGGTATCTGTTGTAATTTTGCCTTTCATTTCTGATTTTTTTTCATAGAGGTTTCACCAAATTATGCTCCCACTTTGGGGTTTTCTGTTTTCTTAGTGAGTCTAGCTAAGATTTTATCAATTTTGTTTATTCTTTTAAGTCAACAATCCTTGGTTTTATTCATATATTTTCATTCATATTTTTATGTCTATTTTAGTTCTAATTTTTATTACTTCGTTCCTTCTACTGATTTTGGTTTCATTAGTTCTTCTTTTTCTAAGTCCTTTATATGTATATTTAGAATTTTTATTTGAGATTTTTATTGCTTGTTGATGTGGCCCTGTGTTGCTTTGTACTTTCCTTTTAATACCATCTTTAGTGCATGCAATAGGATCTGGTAGCTTATCTCTTCATTACAGTTGGTCTCCAGTATTTTTTTAATTTTTTTTTATTTCTTCATTGTTTATTCTCTGCATTATAGGGTTTTGTCCAGGTTCGTTTTGTGCTTGATTTCTAGCTTTACATCATTGTGATCAGAAGATACTTGATATATTTTTAATTTTTATATGTTTTTGAGACATATTTTATGTTCTGGTATATGATCTGTCCTTGAGAAACTTCCATGTGCTCTTGAGCAGAATGTGCATTCCATGTACAGAATGCTCTGTCACTGTTTATTAAGTCCATCTGATCATTTGCTTCATTCAAGGACACTATTTCCTTGTTTTCTTTCTGTCTGAATGTTCTACCATTGGTATAAGTGATATGTTGACATCCCTATGGTTATCATGTTGCTATTGATGTGTTACTTTAGGTGTGTTAATAGTTATTTTATATAATTGGGTATACCTTTCTTGGGTATGTAAATATTGATTATAATTATATCACCCCGTGGTTCTCATTTCTTCAGTTTCTTCATTTCTTCTAGGTGTCTCCATTCTAGGTTTTTGTTTAGTGGTTACCACAAGGGTCTTATCAAGCTTTCTATATCTGAAATAGTCTTTTCTGTGCTGTTATCAACTCAGTGTCCTTTAAATGTATACATATTGTCTTTTGCTTCTTCCCCTTCAATGTTTTGTTCTTGTCTCATATTACTCTTGGTATATTCCTGATCATGTATTACTGTTTATCACCTTGGTCAAAGTTTTATGTTCATGTGCTTTTTCTTTTCATGTGGAACTCCTTTTAACATTTCTTGGAGGACTGGTCTGGAGGTGGTAAACTCCATTAGGTTTTGTAAGACTGGGGAAGTCTTTTTCTTCATCATATTTGAATGATAATTTTGCATGATAGGAAATACTTTGTTGGAAGTTTTTATCTTTTAAAGTGTAAATATTTTATTTTACTCTCTTTTAGCCTTGAAAACATCTTTTCAGAAATCTGATAAAAGTCTGTTTGAGTTGCCTTTGTATGTTATTTTTTTAGTTTCTTAATAGCCTTTGATATTTTTTCTTTAGCATTGACTTTTGTTAATTAACAATGATATTTCTTTGTGAAGGTCATTTTGCATTTAGAAATTTGGGTGTTCTTTTGTTTTTTTGCACATTCATGTTTAATTCTTTCCTTATATTTGGGCAGTTATCAGCTCTGTTTCTTTAAATAAGGTCTCCCCCTCTCTCTTCACCTTCTAGGATACCCATTATTTTTATGTTTCTTCTTCTAATGGAGTCTGATGTTTCTCATAGAGCTTCTATATTTTTCCTAAATCTTGGGTTTTTTCTTATTTGCTTGAGCCATTTGTACATTTGAATCTTCAATTCCCAAAATTCTCTCTTCTGCCAGCTTAAGTCTACTTAATATGTTTTCCATATTTGTTCTCATTTAATTCATCTTCTTTTGAATTTTATTTATAGTATCTTCAATCTCTTTAGTGAAGAACTCTTTGTCCTCTGCATCTCTTTTCTAATATTCTGAACTCTTTTGTCTTTCATTTTTTTAAAGATTTATTTATTTATGCATACAAGACCTGGGGTACAGGCCAGAGATGTGGTGGGTGAGAGGATACACCAGAGACAGTTGGGAACAGAACAGGGGGATTGACCGAAGTACACTGCTGAGGGGAATAGTGGGCGAGTCAGGAGAGGTCTGCTTTGCCATGTGCGTTGCTCCCTGGCCAGCCAGGGATCAAACTCATGCTGCAGAGGCTGTGGATTGCTTCAGAGTGCGGTGTTCAACCCCTTGCGCCACCAGGGAGGGTGACTTTTGTATTTTATTGACCTGCTAAAACCTCTTTAAGATTGTTACTCTAATTTTTTTTTTTTTCTGGCAGGTCTAAAATCTGTGTCCTTCATATAAGTCTGTGGAGTTATATTTTTCTCTTTCTACTTTTCCATTTTGTGTTCAGTAGCTCTTTATTACTAGGCATGAGACTTGCTTTATTTGCTTTTGCTCATTGGGGTGCTATGGCTTTCATTTTTAAAAAAAAATCGTATTTGTTTACATTGGCATCCAGTAAGTGAGTGGAATGATAGTTGAGTCCAAAGACTTGATCTCAGTCTTGTGATGAGGGAGGTTGTTAAAGTGAAAGAAATTTACACTGCTTCTTTTTCCCTTGCTCATCAGAACAAACCCTCTTCACTGCTACAGAGAGTATAAATTCCAGAGCCCCATCTTATTTTAGCTTTTCCCTCTGGTGCACATTGTGCAACATGTCTCTCTCCCTCCATCTTGGCAGAAAGGGATTCTCTGCCATTCATGCAGCCAAAAGTCTGATTCTCTGTGAGTGAACAACCAGTCCCAGTGCCCGTGTAGATATGTCTTCACTGTCCCTTCACTAACAAACATCCTGCACACATTCCCTGGTCCCACACAGTCTGTGCCTGGTTCACAGCTTGTTCTGCTGACCTGTGCAGTCACCACTCTAGCCACAACTCTCTGACCCTCTCCCTATTCTGCCCCAACAAGGAGCCATCAACCTCAAAGACATAAATACATGGTTTAGTCTCCTGTTTCTGATGAAGAGCTGGTGGTGTTTCCTGTGGGGAAAAAAAATAGGTTTTTCCTACTTGTACTTAGGGAAGTGGTTTATCAGAAACCTCTGTTCTCTCATTTTGTGGGTAGAGCCTGTGGAGACCTTTTAGGTATTATTTTTATATTTAAAATATCTAATAAGAGATAGTTAAGTTATATATGCATTCTTTTGTGGTCTTATGAAATTTTGCATATTTTGAGAAGTTCCATATATATTTTTATTATTCAATTTTTTCAGGTTTTCTTATAAAGAAAATTTATTTCCAAGAAATGTGATTCCCCAAATTTGATCCTTACTAATTTATTTTGTCTGATATGAATTTAGAGTGTTTTTTAAACTCTAAAAGTTCCCAACAATTATCTCTTAGAGTGATAAAATGATAACAGTTTACTAGAGAATTTGAATTCCTATAGGTCAGTTTTAAATTCTATTTTTAGGAGTATGTTCTTATTTTCTCTAAAGGACCTTTTTTTGAGAAATATTTTGATCTCAACCTCCTTCATTTACTTTGTCAATGTCATCAATATTTTAATGAATCATCATTCAAATATTCAGAAGCTTTGCAGTTAGTTCATGATAATACTAATAAATTACATAAATCAACAGTTTTTATTCTGAAAGTAACATTGTGAAGTATAAATTATACTTAAGCAATTTTCCTGCAAAATATGAAATACATATTTTTTAATATAGCCTTAAATCATAACTAAAACTTTTACTGCAAATGTTTTTCAAACAAAATTGCAAATGTTTTTCAAACACTAATTGTCCCCTCTTCATGCCAATGGCAAAATTGAAAATAGTCAGTACGATCATATTGATTTATTTGTATTTTATATGCCTCTGTTATATTTATTATAGTTTTCTGTTAGTATATGCCCAACTTTTGAACGAAAAATTTTATTACAAGAGTTAAATTCTATTTTACCGTATTTCAAAATGTTCTTAGAAATTCACTGTTCACTTACGCAATATAAAATAAAACTTCATTGTTTCTAACCAATTACCACTTTGTTTTACCAGGATTATTATGTGGTGATTTTGTGTCCTACTGAAATGGATGTGCAAGTTCGAAGGGTACTACAGATTCCAATGTGGTCACAAAGAGTTATTTACCTTCAAGGTTCAGCTCTTAAAGATCAGGATTTGTTGCGAGCAAAGTAGGTATCTTAATTTCATTTCACGATGCCCCTTTTTTTTTTTTAAAGATTTATTTATTTATTTATACAAGCACTGGGTACAGTCAGAAGCATGAGAGGGTGAGAGAATTCACCAGAGCCAGAGCGGGGAGCAGAGCAGGCAGAAGGACCGAAGTACACTGCTGAGGGGAGCAGCTGGCGGCAGGAGAGGTCTGTGTGCCATGTGGGACCCTCCTCCAGTGGCCCGGGTGCAGCCGGGGATCAAACCGGCGCTTCAGAGGCTGCAGGCAGCTTTGCAACCCAGCGCTCAACTGCTGCGCACCCAGGGAGGCCCGATGCCTTAATTTTTTAATCCATTTTCAGTATTACAAGATGGTTTAAGTATTTTTGAATACAAAGCTTTACCTTAGCCCTACTGTTGGTTAAATTGAAAGGTTAAAATTTAAAAATCAGTGTGTTTAGTCCTCAGTACTTCTCAGTACAGAGATGTGCAGCAGACCGTGTCTACACATTATGAGAAATGTAGCATGGTATAATTATCTCAAGCAGCCAGAAATGAGCTGAGTTATCCAGAGTCACCATCAGTCTCCAAGTCACTGAATCTGTTTTTATTCCACCAATAAAAGTTTTGTATGAAACAAGTGAGATTCCAAAGTAGTTTAAGTTAGGGTTTAAATATTAAGAAGCCTGTGTTATATCCTGGGATGATTACCTTTGTGTTGCCTGGTGTCAGAGGTGGCAGTCTCTGGGAACTGGAAGAATCACAGATGTGAAAGGTCTTAGTTGCTCTCTTTTTGTTGTGCATGTTCCAGCCAACTCAACTTAATGGTGACATAGTATCAAACATTTGTCACAGGTCACAGGGTTATTCCACATGAGCTGATTGAGAGCATGGTTGAGTAGACCAAGGCCACCAGAGAGTCAGGGCAATTGCGAAACATGTATAGTTTCAGAAGCCAGAAGATATTCCTAACACTCGTGGCTTAGCATCATGTTTTCTGTTGCTTTTAAAGTTTTAAATATGTCTTCATGTTTATCCTTGAGTTGTCCCACATACTCTTTTAGATTTAAAAGTCTGCATTGAATTTTATAGCATAAATTTTTTTTCTGACTTGCTTATGTGATTTAGTGAGTGTGTGTATATATATATATATATTTATGTGTGTATGTGCGTATATGTTCTTTTTATTTTACTTATGTTGTGACTACATGTTCTATATTTGTGTCTGTGTGTTTGTCTGTGCAGTGGGGGGAGGGTGATAGAAAAGAACAGGAGAAAACCCTCAGACTCCTTGCTACCTCATCCTGCAAATAATGACTAAATAGCTCATAATGGAAATTAGACATTTCTTTTGCTTTGATTCTTTCGATAGGTCAATTTAACTAAGATTTTTTTTCAGTGACTTAACTTCTAAAAAAAAGTCAGTAGAAACTCAGGATAGATTGAATAGTACATAATTGACAAATTTTGCTTTGAAAATGTATTAATATTTTTAATGCATAGATTTTTTTCACTGTACATATGACAGATCTCTATTAGTCAGTTCTCCCAGTATCTCAAGCAAAACACAGCCTTTGGTGTTTGCAATTATTTAAATTTTTTATTTAAATCTCTAAAGAAAGAGTTTCTTAATCACTTACATAACTTGGATCTTTATAGTCATCTGCAAACATAATCAGTGTGTTTAATTTATTATTTGATTTAAGTTAATCACATTTAAAAGCTAGTAATGCCCATATCATGGTCATTATGAATTTGTGTCATAACTGAAGACTTAGATATAAGCTAGGATTAGCACCACTCATTATTAATAGTTAGTATTAGAAATTATGTTAGTAAAAGAAATGACTTTTACAAGGAACATTCCTCCATAGGAATATAAGAGGATGAGAATGAGGATGAGAGTTAACAGACTGGATGTATTAAAAAACTGAGTTAAGAAAGAAGTTAGACAGGAATATCCATTTTAATATTCATTTCTAATCCTAATGTCATATAAAGGTTTGGTATTTAATGTTAACTAACACATTCTTCAACACAATTTCCCATGCAAGAAACAAGGAATAGAATTCTCCAAACCAGTTTCAAAAGGTCAGTTGCATGAGTTTTGAATTGTTTTGTTGAAGGTATTTAGAAAATATTATGCAATACTCATATTATCTTAATTACCATGGCTCAGCATTTTCCTAGTATTGTGTGGTTTGGTCTAATTCCATGTATTTTAATCTTTGTTCTCAATAGAAATTTTTTTTGGAAAAGACTTACTATAATGAACTGGAAAGATAAATCATTCCTTATTTTGAAAATAAATATTTTTGTTTTTAGAACTTTGTTTGTAAAACGCTGACATACTGTTTCTGTATCATTCAATTTATGAAACACATTTAAACCTTAGTATGAAGTTCAAGGGTTTGGAACAAGATGTTCAATCATAAAATAAAGTTTAATTTATGAATTCTAAACAGCTCTGTTTTTTCTTAGTTGAATTGAGGTAAAATAGAATTAATTATAAAATAAACATCAATATAATGCCTTTGGTTTAAATAAGACATATATATGAAAAATTACAAAATCATAAAATAGGTAAATTTTGACATTTACTTCTGTCATAAACTCAATTTTAACATAGTTAACTCAGCAGTAATTATTTTGTTAATATTCAAACATAGTAATGATTTGATAGAAATCCAGCTTTCATTTGTGTTTAAGGATACTTTATATGCATTTCACTAAGCCACAAATTCTGTTTTTTAGATGATCATAAATATTTCTGCATGTGATTGTTTTGGCTTTTCTCTGCATCTAGGATGGATGATGCTGAGGCCTGTTTTATTCTAAGCAGCCGCTGTGAAGTGGATAGGACATCATCTGTAAGTTTCTAATATCTCCTTTAGTAAATTGTTCTTTTTTACCTTAGATTGTTTATTTGATCTGCCAGGATAAAGTATTGTTGACTTTAAAAGTTTACTAAAGGGAAGCTATTATATCTAATTTATTTTTGACATAATAAGAAGTAGTTGCATCACTGACTATGAAAAAAAGTGTTTTTGAAGTAGTTCCTACTAATCCTTGGGTTTTCTGTTGATTAAAATGAAATGAGTCATATGTAAACAAAACTAGACCATTTAAAATTAAATATGTGCTGTGTTTTGTAATTTTGTTAAAATGGTCTCAATTTCCTCAAGTCAAAAACAAGGCAGATGGATCTGGCAGTCTACATTTGAATCAGTTGGAGAGGATCTAAAAAAATATGCATTTGTGAAAATTCTATTCAGGATATATAGGGCAGGGTTGGGAATCTGTATGTAGAAAGAGACCCAGGTGATTCTGAAGCACCTCCCACCTTGGTAATCTTTGATTTATTTGATCTCCTGATGTATTTTTTTTTAGGTATAAAGTTCTATTAAATTGCCTAATTTACCAAATTATAACTTCTGCTCTTAGAAAAAGGCATTTTAGTCTTATGATTTAAAAAATTACTTTATTATTTTATGTCCTGTTAACTCTGTTTTTAAGCCAGTGTGTCCATATCTACCCACACAAGGTTCTCCCACTATGTAAAAGTATAATGTTCCTATTTGGTAATGATATTGGCATTAATTTTATGAAAAATTTTTTTAACATTTCCAGATCAAAAGACTAACTTACCAAATAGTAATGTTTTTTTCAGATTGCAGGGGGAACCTATATCTGGTACACAAACAAATGAGAACCATAGAGGCTTCTATAGTAACAAGGAAAAGACAAAAACATGTGTGGATCTTTCATTGACGTATATCCTCTTCAGGAATGTATTTTTCCCTTTTCCTAGAGTATCTAACAGGTGTGCTCTGGTACATTTGCTCAGGACCATAAGTCTTGAATGTGGCAGGATTTGTGTTATCTTCACTCTAATTTATAAAAACATCTTACTGAGTTTTACACCATCTTTTTCATCCTTCATTGAAAGGGAGCTATTATGGTTTCAATTCTGTTCAACCCCATCCCCAGACTCATATGTTGAAGTCCAACCCCCTCTACCTGGTACCTCATAATATGAACTTCTTTAATTGATAAGGTTTTTTTTTTTTTTTAAGATTTATTTATTTATTTATTTATTCAAGCACTGTGTACAGTCAGAAGCATGGGAGGGTGAGAGAATTCACCAGAGCCAGAGCAGGTTGCAGAGCAGGCAGAGGGGCCGAAGTACACTGCTGAGGGGAGCAGCGGGTGGCAGGAGAGGTCTGCGCGCCATGTGGGACCCTCGCCCAGTAGCCGGGGAGCGGGGATCGAACCGGTGCCTCAGAGGCCGCGGGCAGCTTCACAACCCAGCACTCAACCGCTGCGCCACCGGGGAGGCCCAATTGATAAGGTCTTAATAGAGGTAATAGAATTACAGTGGGCTCGTTAGGGTGACCCTTAATTCAACATGACTGTCATCCTTATAAAAAGGATAAATTTGGAGACAGACAAATATCAGGGAGAATTCAATGTGAACATAGCAACTATCTGTAAACCAAGGAGAAAGGCTAAGAGCTAAATTTCCTATTAGAGCTTGATTTTGGTCTTTCTGCCATCTAGGACTATGAACCAATAAATTTCAGTTATTTAATTCATCCAATTTGTGATACTTGGTTTCTGCAATCCTAGCAAACTAAGTCTTTTAAGACCTGTAGTCCTCTAGTATATAGATTTGTGTTACAAGGGAAGTTATATATTAGGAAATAAATACATAATGTGTTTAGTGTCCCCCTTATGTGATTTGGTGGCTTTCTGTTAAACAAACACATTCATTTTTTTCCCTGACATTACTAAATTGAAAGGAATAAAAAGATTTCTCTTCTAAGGACAAAAGTGGTGACAGATGAGACAATACTAATAGAGGTTTGACCCTTGAAAGGAGATGGATGAGGGGTGACTGACTTAGAAAAAGTTAAAATGTAAGTTGAGAGGGAAACAAATCAGAAAAGAAAATGTAAGCTGCTTTTTGTGATAGAACCTTCAAAGTCTCAGGAAATAGAGGCAGCAAGTGCCTCTGCAAGAAGGGTCAAGTATAAGAATGAACATATGAACAGAAAATATAGTCTGTGAGAGAATCAGAGCCCCTCCACATAGCTACTGCTGGTAATGGTCCCCACCCTAGTAAACGAGGTTTATTATTTGGAGAATTTGATCCAAGGTACCCTTCGGAAACACTGGGCATAGCTGAGGGTCCAGGTAGAATCAAAGGAAATAAAGTTCAAGTCATCTCACAAAACATGTGATGCTTGTCTAAAATGATTCTGAGAGGACTTATAACCAGTTTCATATCTCCATTGACACAACATTGGAGGAATTTTCTCCAGAAAAAATAACCTACTATAAGAGAAACTGCCATATGTGTTTGTGTGTTACATTATGTATGTGTATACACACACACACATATAGTATATAAAGTGTATGTGTGTTGTGTGGGCATAAACATATAAAGTCAAGAGTTTTCCAGTACAATATTGCAGACTGGTTGCCTTGCACTAAAGTTTGTGTAATGATAAGTTCCCACCTTCACTCAGGTCTCAGGTGGATTTTGAACTCTTCATTGCTAAAATTGCTCAACCAGACATTGTTAGACATTTAAGGGAATCCTAACTAGAAAAAGAATGAATAAACAAATAAATGTAAAGAAAGTAGAAATGCAGAGGAAACACAATATCACTGTGCTGTTCTTAAGAAATAAATATTAAAATATTTCTATTGTATAGCCTTAGTGCAATATGAGATGAGAAGTATAGACCTATATAAAACAGGACAGTTGGCTATAGAACAAAACAAATCAAAATAAGAGACATTCACTGAACAGAAAAGAATTCTTGGAGATTAAATATCAGATTATGAAAAAAATTAAAGGGTGTAGAAGATAAGTCTAAGGATATTTAAAGAATGAGGAATAATAAAATGAACTGTGAAACTAAGAATTGGAAGACTGGAGTCAAAACAAGAGAAAAGTAGATTAGCTAGGAAGAACAATGTCTATATAGTAAGAATATGTGGAAGGAAGTCCAGGAAATAATGAGAGAGCATGTTATAAATATATGATGCAATCAACAAAAGGGCCAACTTACTACAGTATAATGATGAAAAAAGACCTTTATTGGTCAGAGATCAAAAATAATAGATGGACACAGAGAAAGAGAAGAATGAAAATGACATGAAGGAAATTGAGAAGTTAAAGAAGGAAAACTTTCAAAACTAAGGATGGAGAATTAGAATATATTTAAACTCCGCAACTGTAATACCGAAGCCAGAAAACAATGAGAAAATGCTTTCAAAATTCTAAAGGAAAATGTTTTCCACTTAGAAGTCTGTATTGTGGGAAATTTTCAGTTAGGAAAGATATTTATAGATATGATTTTTAAAAATGCACGATTCTCAGCAAGTTGTAGGCAGATGTGTTTAAAGTCAGGGATGGAATGAAAATAAAGGAAGATTCAGAGTATCTGGAGGGCACTTTGATCTTGGACTTTCGGCCTCCACAACTAAGACAAAATAAATTTCTGTTCTTCAAGTCACTCAGTCAGAGGTGTTTTGTTATGGCATCCCTACAAAACTAAGAATTCAGATTTTGAATTAGTAATGAGTGGTTATGAGTAGTTTGAAAATAAATGTTAAAAGAGATGATTCTTACCTCCAAAGAAACATTGTTCATTCAAGATTGGAAAATTAATTATAACACTCATCACTAATAATAATAACAGTGATATGAATACTGACTATTGATCTGACCGAAATTATTCCTGAACTATATTTAAACAATGAGGTGAAGAGAAATTGGGGGTAGGAACCTGCACTAGAAAGGTATCCTCTTCCATTCTATAGTAGGAAGCCAGGAGACAATAGTTAAAATTGAAAACTCAATGTAGGGGCAGGACAGGCCACAGTGCAGGTTATCTGATCCAGCAGACTGAGTAAAGGAGGAGTCAGAGTCCTCAGTGGATTATTGCAGGTCTTTTATTGGGATTACCAGGTACACGGCAGGCAGGGGTGCTGGGGGGACGGGAGGCTAGCAGGCCTCCCAGCCCTCAGCAAGCCTTAACTCTGTCTGGGCTCTCCGGCGTTCTCTGCTTCTCTCTCAGCTTCTGTTCGTTCTAGGCTTCTCTTTTGGCTTCTTCTGGCATCCCCGTGACGCCCCCTAAAAGCCCAGTCTCAGCCCAGGTGAATCCCATCTACTTATGCCCACACCCTATTCCAGGTGACCACCATCAGGCATGCATTCAGGAACGCAAGGATCCATCATCTATCCTGATGGCGGGAGGGCAGAAAAGCCTGACATTTTTCCTTACCCTACACTCAACATATAGTAATAAGATCACATTTTTGGTGTGTGGAGGTAAATAACAGAATAAGAAAATGCAGGATTTTAAAGTGATTGCCTTTGTGAAATGGAAATATAACATAACATAGGAAAAACAGGGGATGCTGCTCTTATGTGTTTTGAAACTTGAAAATTACTTGTCTCGTTGAACTATGTTTGAGCAAAGATTTGATAACATTTTAATCATATGATTTGGAAAAATTCCCTTGTCTAGGAAAAAGTTCATTAGCCTAAGAACTGAACCTTTTGTTTTAGGCAGAGAACTGTTTCATCTTCATATCTGTTTCAAAGAACCCTCGAGATGCCAGTGAATAGTTTCAATTGAGTTGCATCTACTTTTTAGATATTTGTGTTTTTTCTTTTAATTCAGCTTTCACCCATAAATCTACTTGAAGTATTCTATGTTATTCACACTGGTTAAATTATTCTGCTATTCACACATGACTGAATAAGTCTATTGATTCAGGAAACCTACAAGGTGTGCCAAGTAAGGCTGAGTAAAACAAGTAGTATCAAAAAATTGTACTATTTATCAAAAAA